CAGGTGAGGGTCAGAGTGTGTACTACAGTACAGGTGATGGTCAGAGTGTGTGCTGCGGTCAGTGTGTCGATCAGAGGTCAGAGTGTCGATCAGAGTGTCGATCAGAGGTCAGTGTCGATCAGAGTGTCGGTCAGAGGTCAGCGTGTCGATCAGAGGTCAGTGTGTCGATCAGAGAGTCGATCAGCGGTCAGTGTGTCGATCAGAGGCCAGAGTGTGGACCAGAGTGTCGATCAGAGGGCAGAGTGTCGATCGTCGATCAGAGGTCAGCGTGTCGATCAGAGGTCAGCGTGTCGATCAGAGGTCAGCGTGTCAGTCAGCGTGTCGATCAGAGGTCAGAGTGTCGATCAGAGAGTGTCGATCAGAGGTCAGCGATCAGAGGTCAGAGTGTGTCGACCAGAGGTCAGAGGTCAGTGTGTTGTGATGACTGACCTCAGCATGGAACTGGACGGCTTTACTGTCACACATCTGCAGCTGAGAGGTGAGCTCTGACACACGGCTCATGTAATGATGCTTGATCAGATGTTCACGAGACTCCTGATCTGCAGCCTACGGCACACAAACATCATCAACACCTCATGATTCATATTCATACAGCAGGAGTGAGTGTGCAGATACGGTTAATGAACATGAATACATACGCTCTCGCTGCAGGGAGTGATGGTCAGCATCCCGATCTGACAATACAGACACATCATTACACATTACAGACAGAATAAACATTTCAATAATGCCTTTACTTTACATCCAGTAATATTTGATAGCAGATAATATAACCTGTACTGTACAACCTGGTTTTAAACACCGTTCAGTTCACATTACGTTCTAATGGACATTTAAAAAAAAACTACAACTAGTTTTTGACACCTGCAACAAGGAAACAAGACACTCTGTGACACACATAGGAAATATGAAAGATTTGAAATGAAATTGAATTGAGCTGAACACAGACTCCAGTGTTTTGATTGGTCTTGAGTGGATTCCCCACTAACTCAAACTCCTCTGATTGGCTACTGCGTTCAAGAGCTCATGTCTGTGATTGGCTGTGACTGCAAACAACGTTTCTTCAGAGCGCAAACACAATACACCGTGATGAACTCCACTGGAAAGGTGTTTGCCCTTTGAATTAGGGATAGGGGAGCTCATACGGCTTTTTGGCTAGGTTTAAAGGAACAGAGCACTTTTAGATAATAGATACTCGTGGAGGAAGGAAAACAGAGCTCTTTATGAGCCACAGGATTGCTTGTAATAAAGATTTCAATGCAAAAGAAAAGGCAGTAGAGCTGACTATTTCTGTCAATGGTAAGTTTGTGATAACATAAGAAAAGTAGTTTAAATGTTTTGCCACTTGCTTGAGCAACTTCATATATAAATCTAGCAGTAAATGCAAAAGTAAAAAGCATTGAATAATGTGTTGCTTATATTTATTGTGTTTAAACACGTCTGTGAAAGATTGTATTACTGTACTGTGTAAAAAAAAACAATCACGATGCTGAAAAAGCATTTCCAGAGACCATGTTTGGATTTGAAATCAGAATACTGGATGAATGTTGTGTTTGTGGAAAACAGCCGTGGATCAGCAGCGGTCTCCTGAGTGAAAGCTGCTTCTGCACCACACATGGACTGCAAACAGAGTGTGTGTGAACCTCACACAGACTTTACTTGGGCGGGAATATATGGAGAAACATTTGTGCTTATTATTTTTATTCTCATACTTTTTTATCCGGCCAAAATAATGAAACCCTCCGCGATCGATTAACTACACGTTTGGTATCTGCTGGTTCTGTGTGCGCGAGAACCGTTCCCTCGTGCGCTGCAGAGACGCGGCGGATATTTCTCAGACACACACAGGGCTCGACAGTGCGGGCGCTTCAGTCGCAAATAAAAATAGAGGTGCGTGAACTGTAAAATGTATTTAAGGATAATAAAGCAAAATCCCTCCGGGTGAGTTTTCTTAAATTTAATGTCATAAAAAGTCTTCAATACATAAAATGATCAAGACGTTTGTTTTACCATTTTAAGTCGTTTTATATTTTGGGGATGGAAAAACATAAATCACGATACAGCCTATATCGACTATGAAACTTCTAAATAATTTTTTTTTAAAAGAGCGCTGCACATTGCAGTGTCTCAACAGGTGCAGATCAGAGGTCAGCGTGCCGATCAGAGGTCAGCGTGTCGATCAGAGGTCAGCGTGTCAGTCAGCGTGTCGATCAGAGGTCAGAGTGTCTGAGGTCAGAGTGTCGATCAGAGAGTGTCGGTCAGAGTGTCGGTCAGAGGTCGTCGGTCAGAGGTCAGAGTGTGTCAGTCAGAGTGTGTCGATCAGAGGTCAGCGTGTCAGTCAGATTTTTAAATGTGTTTTCAAAGGAATAGCATCTGTTGAACGGTGTTTGAATGGCTCCTGAGGTCTGCCGGCTGAAGTGTGTTGTGATGACTGACCTCAGCATGGAACTGGACGGCTTTACTGTCACACATCTGCAGCTGAGAGGTGAGCTCTGACACGCGGCTCATGTAATGATGCTTGATCAGATGTTCACGAGACTCCTGATCTGCAGCCTACGGCACACAAACATCATCAACACCTCATGATTCATATTCATACAGCAGGAGTGAGTGTGCAGATACGGTTAATGAACATGAATACATACGCTCTCGCTGCAGGGAGTGATGGTCAGCATCCCGATCTGACAATACAGACACATCAGAACACATTACAGACAGTAATATCTGATAACAGATTATATATTCTCCTGATTCAGGAGCTCATGTCTGTGATTGTGACACTCCTCAGAGCACAAACTCCACTAGAAAGGTGTTTGCCCTTTGAACAACACGCCGTCTGCTGTGCCAAGCGTCGCTCCTGCAGAGGACTGTGTATGATTCTCCCGCTGATGCCGTGATCTGATCATGACCTGTCGTGATTTAACTGCCGATGAATCTCTGCCTTTGTTTATTTGAGGTATCGTCAACTTGTTACTTCATGGTTTTTGTACATGATTTGTTCTGTTTGGATTTAGAGGTTTGAATGGAAATGCACACAATCCACAATCATGAAAAAGCACATCAGTCATTTTCAAAATCGTTTCTTCTGATCTGAATATGGGTCTATGAACTTGTATTGTGCTTGGATTTATTGTAATGCTGAAATCGGTGTATTGGTGTTTAGTGCATATGAACTCATATAAATGCCTGAATGAATATGTGAATATATTTAGTTTTGCTTGCTTTTGTTCATTAATGGTCAATGGTACTGAAAGAAGAAAGAACAGGATTTTATGGGGATTATATAAAAGTTCTGATTAATTGTATAGAGTAGATTCCAGTTTAAACTATAAACGACTGAATAATTCATTGTAAACTGTCTGGACGCTACCAGGCCACACACCTCTTTAAACTACCAAACCATCAGGACACACAGGAGTGTTTGAGAGCAGTCACTGACCCTCTGATCCACACATGAATGTGTCTCGCTCACCACGCTGCTGTCCTGAAGGGGCTCTAGAGCGTCAGCACACTCGGGATCAGGGCCGTCTGCGGCGCTGTGTCTCTCTGCTGGACCTCCGGCGGTGATCTGAGCCTCCAGCTGAGCGATGCGCTGAGTCTCCTTCTGCAGATGCACCTGCCCCAGCTGAGCCTCCAGCAGCCAGTGCTCCTTCTCCTGCTCCAGACGAGAGATCTTCTCCTGACTCTGAGCCACCTGATGAGCACACACCGTCAGCACACACACACACACACACACACAC